CGCAGCGCAAGCGGGAGACTTTTATCAAGATGCCCTTAAAGCCATGAACCGTGATGCTGTAAAAGGATTGTGGGAAAAGGTATTTTTTAAATGAATTTCGTGCCATTGGCTATGCAGATTGTTCTTTTCTTTTCAGGAGTGGGTCCATACTGTTACAGGAAAGATGTTTGGTTTCCAAGCAATATCTCAACTACACCAGGCTGGGGTAAACTTGACATAGTTTTTTTTTGCTATGTTTGTTAGGCTCGTTAACAATCAATGCTTTAGATCAATGCGGAGCAGCAAGAAATGAGTGAACAGCTGAGCCGACTAGGCGAAGCGCTGAAATTGTCAGAAATGGCAGCAAAGTATCTACCAGCCGGCTGCCTATCTGAGCAGCTCAATTCGATTCAGAAGATGTACACCGCAGCTAAAAAGGATAATGATTTCATTGTAAGTAACTTGAAGTGGATCACGATTGCTATTTCCTCTCCACCAAAAGAAGACCAACACTTCATTCGAGCTACTCCTTCTGGTCTGGTGTTAAAGTCACAGGAGCATTTTTTTTTCTTTTTTTGCGAGCAGTACATTGTCGTCTTCAAAATCATTCCGCTGTTACTCACACATTGTTTAGTCTTTTTCATCGTTGATTTTATCTCACCCAAAATTTATTCTTATTCTCAATTTTTAGTACCATGAACGCATAGCCGATTTCCGTTCTCTTCCTGCATTGCCACGGGCTGCCTTGGCAAAGGCTCTCCCTGTTACGCATCCAATTTCCCCACGTTTCAGAGGTTGGCGGTTACAATTACAGATGTTTTGTTCTCTTTAAAACCAAGTAAAAATTTTAGACATGTTCGCAAGTGTCGTACCAGTACAAGTTCACAATGCAATGCAGTGTTACGAGGGCCGTAAAGCGGAACTAGTGAATATTGAAACAGGACGGCTTCGAGAGCACACTCAGCTAATGAATGGGTATTTTTTTATGTATTTCGGAATCAATCTTTTTCGGTAGCATTCACGCATCCGGCTTTAATCATAGGGCCAACTAATGGAGAATTGAGGCCTAAACAATGAGCACGCTATATTTTTGTCATTTCGAACAGATTTGATTTCGTGAACCTGTGGCGTAGCGGGATAGAAAGCAGTTTTCGTGTATTATTCAGTCCACATATTCATTTGTAATAGTGGCCCATCTTCTGCTGGTATAGCCTTCATATCTCAAACCAATGGCGTTGAAATGATGCATGCGAATGAAAAACTCATTTTATTTTATCATCGTGATTTTTGTGTAATTTTCGAGTAGTTTTCGAGTGAAATGTGAAGTTTGTTCGTTTGTTTGTATTTTTTACACCACTCTCGTCTAATTCCAACGATTTAAATTTTCAGAGTTATATTTTTGCTTCTAGTTGTGAGTTCAGAACTATTTCGAGTAGATCCTCATTCAATTCTTTCATTTCAGTATCCTGGCCTCCTTGAATCTGCCAGCTGCTCTTGACGATGTCACGTCCATGGACACCTTGGCCCGAATCAATAAAGCAGAAATCCGCTAAGGTTTGAAGCTGCCGTTAAAATCTTTTGCTGTTTCAAACTAATGTTCTGCTTCAGGTGAAACAAGCAGGTGGCATCAATGAGCTGCAGCGATTATTCAGCGAATTACCAGGACTCTATAAAAGAAACGAAGAAATCCTGGATGAAGTATGTATATAATGAAACTGCCATTTCGTTCCGTGTTTACCAAAAGCTCCGCTACGCTTTCACAAATGCTCACGCAAATTGGATTTATTCCAGACCAACCGCATGCTGTCGGAAGAAAAAGAAAGCGATGACAATCTTCGTCGTCAGTTCGGGACGAAATGGTCACGTATGAGCAGTGAGCAGTTGACTGGCCCGCTGTTACAGGTACTGTGCTTCTGTTTTAGTCTCATGGTGTTCTTAGTTTGTGATCTTGTTGGGAGAGTTTCTTCTTCGTCCCTTTAAATGGCCGTCGCCCAATTGAAACAATTTTCTTTACTCTGTCATGTCTTTTTTTTTTCGCCTTTGGTGTGCTGAAACATCAATGAGTGCTGTATCAGTATAAAAAAAATATTAAGGAAATTGGTAAGTACCGAGGAATACTGCACACAGCTTCGAATGCGGACAAAATGGTTAAGGAAAAGTTCGAGACGAATCGAGCTGGTATTGAAATGCTGAGTAAGAATGAGGTTAATTTTTGATCGATTCTTGGCTGTTTTTTTCAAAATTTCTTCATGATTTTTTGTGCCTTGTCTTGATGCCTCTTAACGCTTAATTTAATTGAACTAAAGGTGGAACTGCGCACTTCCATCCCCAGCCAAACACAGCACACAGTGGCAGGGTCATCTGAGGCAGTGACAAAACTGCGTGCACTGATGAATCAAGTGCAGGAAATTAAAGTACAACGAGAGAAGTTGGAGAAGGTAAAGGCGTTTTAGAATGCTTCTATAATAGTTCTGCAGCTGTTAGGTAGTGTTTCAGGATTTCAAAGCCGTTCGTTCCGACATTGCCGATGACCTTCTGCGAGCAATGGCTGAAAGTCAGATTCTCAACGAAGAGCAGATATCCAAGGAGAAAATCCAAGAGGTGGCCGCATGAGTTGTGTGTTGGCATTTCGTTGCTTTTCAAAGTTTTATTCTAGATTTATGGACCACTGAAAGAACAAGTGGAGCAGAGTATCAAACAACAGGATCACATTATGGCTGAAGTTCAGGTAATTTCAATAATTTTCAATGTTTTCGAATCTGTCGCCCTTCAACATCGTGCTGTTGACATAACATAAAATGCTTTCAGACATGGAATACTCGCTTCACAAGTGAAAAATCAGGATCAGGTACGGGTGCAGAGAGAGAACGTGTGCTCAAAACGCTAGCCACAGCTGCTGACTCTTTCCATGAACTGAAAGGAAATCTAGAAGAAGGAACGAAGGTTAGTTCAGGCACATGCATATCTAGCCTATTTCATAGGGAATTGTCAAACTGTACTGTGCCCATTTTTGGATCGCATCACACAAGTTTCTACATGTTTGTAAACACAGTGACATTCGAGTGCTAACATGGCCCAAATGTTAATTTCTGGGATTAACCGACGAGGACTTTTCCCACGTGAATCAGTTACTGCAAAAGTACCCTGTAGAAATAATCTGTCGAGCGGGATCCGGTTTGTAGTTTAGTTTCTGAAGCATTCATATTGAAGCAGCCCCAGTAATCACTCTTAATTTCTCGTCAAATTCAGCTTTTTTCTTATACTGTCTATTTCAGTTCTACAACGATCTTACCCCGATACTGGTGCGGCTTCAACAGAAAGTTAGCGACTTTTCGTTTGCTCGTCAGACGGAGAAGGAGGATCTGATGCGCTCAATGCAGCAGAATATCGTTTCCGGAGGATCTGGTGGTGGAGGAGGTGGTAGTAAGTGAATAACTGCTCGCCCTTCTTAGTATATAAATATATTCTACTAAAGTTGGTAAATACGCGTCATTCAGGTTCGGTTAAGTCGCCTCCTCCTCGTCCGCCTCCGCCTGCTCCTCGCACTGAAGTAGAGCCACCAATTCCTCCACCGCGAACACAACAGAGCCTGCAAGGTACGATTTTTTCTATAATGCAATTCTTTTCCGAGGTAGGGATGGTCTGTGAAATTCATGTGAGGTGGGAAAGAACAGCCTTCTGCATCATAAGCTAACTCTATATTTTCTGTGATCAACTTCTCACAGTAAATCCAACTAGAACCCCTGAGGCCGTGGTCATACTTTGCGATTGCCTGCTGTTTAAGTATGGATTGAGAGTTACAGCGACATGCGAATCGCGCGATCGCACATGCGATTGGGTCTATTCCAGTTAGGAAGGGATCTTTAT